GGTTTGAAATATACCTCTTAATGTAGTCTGTTTGGAACTTTTCCTTTGTTTTTGACTGTGATAACAAAATGAACACAGAACCATAAGATACTTTTACAAAGTTTCTTAATTATCAGTAAGTCCTCCCATCACATCCTCATGGCCTTCTAGTAGAATAACCTCCAAAATGCAGCATTTGAAAATGAGACTTCTCTTTGCTATGAACTCTCACTTGTGCATTCTTACTATCCCTACTCTTGTTCAAAAATACAGACAATTCCCTTCTTTGAAACCAAGCGCACCTGTTTCCCCTGAAACTGTGGCCAGAGTTTAAATTCTATATCACTTATGCATTTGTTCTCAATGTCCTATTCTGGAACAAGTTAACACATGATTTTCTTTATAAAAATTCTTTCTCCTTCTCTATTTCTTTAAAACTATACATATTAAAAGTCCTAATATATGGAAAACAGAAGGCCAAATCAGGAACTATTTCCCATGTAGTTCCACCCTAATATGAGGTTTCCACCCAGAAAAGGGCAATTCCCCCAGCTAAAATAAAGTCTCTCAACTGCTTTACTGTGTTTCTCCGAAAATAATTTTTGCTCCAAAAAACGCATTAGGGAGAAAGGAGAAAGACAGGCTAAAATATTTTAAATGAATAAAATAAATAAATAATTTGGAATTGACCATATTTGACATACTTAAGCTGTGTTTCAAAACCAGTTCATTATGCCAAAATTTATATACTGGGCTCATTCTTAGGAATTTATCTGTTGATACATGCTGATCAGCTACCACATTAAAACCAGTTGTCTATTATCATGCAAGTCCCCCTCATTCTGCCAAAACAGTTGACGTGTCAAGGCATGGCCTCCAGGACCTCTGAATGTGTTCTGTGGTATTTGGCACCACGACATTAGCAGTAGATCCAAACTAATGTGCGGCCCAAACCAAATTTTCATCTTCTAATGTGGCCCAGGGAAGGTGAAAGGTTGGACACCCTTGTTCCACAGCATAGAAGAGCTGAACAATGTAAGCAGCACTCTCTCATACAGTATGTTCAGTTCAACCACAGAGCATAGATGAACAATGTAAGCAGCACTCTCTCTCATACAGTATGTTCAGTTCAACCAGGCACATGCTACTTTCATCTACTGCAACTGCTGTGCATCTGTTTATAAGCTCTCAGAAATGGATCGTATTTACCTGAAAAGCTGCTGCAAATCATTATACTTTGGATAATAGTATATTATATTGTATACATATATCCAATAGTACTTTGGATGTATACATTGAATAGGAATGCAATTTGCTATTTCACCTAGAAGACATAGACTTTCAGATTCCTCACAAACTTCTTGCAATAGGCAACCTTACAGTTTTAAAAGAATGCACACATTTATTTATTTATTTTATTTTATTAGTGCCCCACCCACCTGGTCCTAAGACCACTCTAGGCGGCTTGTACATATAGATACTTTTGCACACCTTGCATTTTATATAAAAGACAACTCTAGGCGGCTTGTACATATAGATGCAAGGTGTGCAAAAGTACATATAGATTACTTTTGCACACCTTGCATTTTATATAAAGTTCTAATTTTATACTTATACTGTTTTTCAATTGCTGAACCAAAACAACTTGTGGGCAAGCCCAGAAGAACCCAACAACTTGGTGCTCATATGGAATGTACTTAGAGAAATGGGAGTTGGGGTGGGAGGAGACTCAAACCAAGAACCGATATTATTTTAAATAGGTTTTATGTGTACACGGACAAGCAGGAATTAAAAGTTGGCTTTTGCTTGCTTTGCCTTCACCATAAAACATGTTATATGAGGAGCTGTTGCTACCACCAGCAAAACAGCTGCTGCTTGAAAATCAGAGACCAGTACTCTCAACAATTTTTTTTTCCTCTAGCAAATCTGCTTGATAAACAAGATTCAGCATTTTATGGAAAATTGTTTTCCATCATTCTGGAGACTTTGGGTTAAGCAAAAAGACATACAGTAATGCATGCAGCATCAGCAAATTAGAATCAAGTGCACCACAAACTGAAAGAAAGAAAGAAAGAAAGAAAGAAAGAAAGAAAGAAAGAAAGAAAGAAAGAAAGAAAGAAAGAAAGAAAGGAAATGCTGATGCATGCATAATATTGCAATGCCACATCAAAAGGGGTCAAATTCCTCTTTGTTTATCAATAAATGACTCCTATTTTCATAAACATCAGTGCATATGAGTTTCTTTTGTTTCTGGGTACTTGAAAACCCAAACAATAATCTTTCCCTGCTCTTCTTTCAGTTTTAGAAAATGAAAAGCCACATTTGGCACTGAGCTATACTAAATTCTGTGTCACAGCCCAAACACATACAGTACTATGTTTTAGCAATTGAAGGGGAGACTGCTTCTCAAAACAGAAGCAGTCAACAGACCGACTATTCCTTGGCAAGCCCTTCAGGGCTACTTCACGCCATGGGATTTTTGTGGGGAGATGCCTGGATATGATACCTTGTAACAAACTACATCAGCAGGATGCAAAACATAAAACACAAATACATATCACTTTTAATCTTTTGGTTCCTTGTAGTATTTGCAGGTATGTGGCTGATCTTTTCCTTATAACTGTTTGATAAACTTCATAATTTGGCTGAAGGAAGTTGACATTATCACTGCAAAATGGCTGCATAAATGAACAACTTTACACCCACACATTATAGCTATCTTCTTTGGTGAGCACAAGGCTTATGTAACAATTATTTAATGATAACAAAGAATACTAAAATCACAAAGAAAATGTCCAACCCACTAGAAGCTCACTCTGCAACTGAGACTACAGTACTCATAAGCATTTTTAGTGATCTCTAGCCCATCCTTGACAAGAATACTTCACTCTCCCAAGCCCTTGGTAGCAGACCTATTGCTTACAGACAAGCCCCAATTTCAAACAACTACTAACACAAAACAGACTACTGACTCAGACATGGGGACGAAACCCTGTTACAAACCAAGATGCCACCTCTGCCCTAAATTTATTCTGGCAACACAATTACAGCCTTTAACAATGTTACACACAACATGAAGGGCATATTTACTTGTTCCTCATCTAATGTGATCTAAATGATCTTTTGCCAACAATGCTCCTCTGCACTCTATATAGGACAAAAAGGATGATATATATGCAAAAAAATCAATGGATATAATAAATTCAACATGAGAAATTGTAATACACAGAAACCTGTCCCAAATCACTTCAATCTACCAGTATTCTCTTCACAAGATATGAAAGACAAAAAGGACGATATATATGTAAAAGAATCAAAGGATATAATAAATTCAACATGAGAAATTGCAATACACAGAAACCTGTCTCAAATCACTTCAGTCTACCAGTATTCTCTTCACAAGATATGAAAGTTGCTAAATTGGAAAAGAAACACTATAAAACAAGAATACAGAGAGAACCATCTGAGATAAAATGTATTCATATGATAGACACCCATTAAAATCACCTGTGTAATATCATGTAGGTCTTCCTCACACTTCCAAAACAGCTTTGATGCATTGAGGCATGGACTCCACAAGACCCAGCTCGCTGGTGGTGACGACAATGTATAGTATGCATAATTAACTTGTAAATGACCCAGAGAGTGTGTTAAGCACTATGGGGCAGTATATAAGCAGCATGCTTTGCTTTGTTTTGCATGTGTCCTGTGGTATCTGGCACCAAGTCTTGCAAGTTGCAAGGTGGATTCGGTGTTCTAGCACATCCCATAGATGCTCAAATGGATTGAGTCTGGGAAATTTGGATGCCACAGCAACACCTTTGTTATGTTCCTCAAACCATTCCTGAACAATTTTTGCAGTGCGGAGGGTGCATTATCCTGCTGAAAGAGGCCACTGCCATCAGGGAACACCATGGCCCTGAAGGGGTGTGCATGGTCTGCAACAATTTCTAGGTAGGTGATACATGTCAAAGTAACATAGTCTCATAAGCCCATTCCAGGTTTTTTTTAATATAAAGAAATCAAAGGTTCGTGATATCAATAAATTAAAAGTGCATGGCAATATGTGGCAACACTTACAAAAGACTGGCTATTACAAAATACACAAATATGTATGTAGCTCAGAACACAAATTAAACATGTTAAACATATGTATCTACATATATTATAGCCACACTAGCCCAAGTACAGTAATGGTTTATAGAATATGATACTGCTCCAATCAGAGAATCCTTCTGGCAATTTTCAGTCTCATAGACTCAAAAGGAAGGGCAATTAAAGTTTTAACTGCTCACTAAAATGTTAAAATATGACTACCGAGAGGCAGAAGGCAAGTGGATGTTTGTTCTTTCTCATTCCCTCTTTTATAACTACTGTATATAAGAAAAGAAGAAAAACAATGCCACCTTCCAGTATGTAAGAAAAGAAGAAAAACAATGCCACCTTCTGGCCAAATGTAGTTCTGAATATAGTGTTTTTAAAAATTGCATATTTAAGACAGATTTAGCTCTTCAATTTTTGTTTTTTTACTTTCTTTCTCTCATAGTGACATATAGTGTTGAACATTTTAAAGAAATGTGTTTGTGGACAAGGAATGTTAAGTTTATCTGTAAAATAAAAATAAGTGTAGTGCACATAGGAAACCTATTAACTTTGGAAGCCATGCTTCAACCCCACTGGAATCTTGTCCTATCTGAGTCTGGATCCAAACCTGTTTTCCTGATTTGTATTTTTCAATTCGACTTTAAACGGCCTTTAACTTCTTTCAGAGGTGTAGGGAAGCTATTCTGTCATGTTCTAGGTTTCCCACAGATGCATTTTAAGCCCAGGAGGGAGTTTTCTTTCCCAGAACGCAGACTGTTTTAAGTCAAAAGAAAAATTTGGGGTATCAAGGGGTTCATGGGGGGCATGCTTTTTCTAGTCCTGGTAAAGTGATATGGCATATATAAATCTTCCAAGGAACCAAGAACCACCTATTCAGTAATAAAAGCAAATTACTCATCGCATCAGTAGACAGTTACCTGGGTTTTTGTAGATGCTGAGTACATCTTTGAAATAATGAGGTAAAAATCTTTCTAGTAAAAGCAGCACATCTTCCAACTCTTCCAGAATCCCCACGAGTAGAAAATTTTCATTCACATTCACTTTTGCTCTCTCGAGGGCCCATTCACCAGGTTCCCTTAAAGAATATTAAAGATATTCTTTAAAATGAAATTTCTAACCAAAGTTTTAGTCAGTAATAAAAGTAAAAACAAAAGACTTACAAATATGACAACGTCTAGTAGGCTAGCTATTCTCAACCTTTTTATAGCCAGAGCCATATAATATGAAAGAAATATAGGCCGACTCAGGATTGTATAAATAACATAATGAACCTTGTAAGATGGTGTGTGAAGAATTGTATACAGCCTGTTGAGAATGGCTGCACTTGGCAATCTGTTACCAACTGTGGCATATAAGTCATATAAAATGGTAACTGTCAATTTTTCAGTGATTTAGGCCTAAATTCTAACATTTTGTAAGTAAAGGCAATTGTTTTCTTCCATTTTGCTGTCTGTCATGTGATTGATAACATGACTGGGTGATAACCTGGAGCTTGATGGATAGCCTGCAGAATAGTAAGAATTGCTTGCTTAACTGCCCTTATGCCCTTTGTGTGAGCCAAAACGATTCTGAGCTCAAAGGGTTTCAAATCCTCTTTTTTATAAGCAATCGGTATAACTGAAATATTATGTACATTGAAGGCCTTACCCACATAATGTATTATCTTGAGGTTTAGTAATTTAAAAATATAAAGAATCCAACTAATTAAACTAACAATGGTGGCCTGATACAGATCAAAATAATTCAGAGAACTAAACCTGAATATTTGATTCTGGCTGAAAAAGACAGTTTAAGACTTTGAGATGTGGAATGAAGACAGTATCTTGATTTTATGTTCCAGGACCAGATACGTTTAATTGGGACAAACTAGCCAAAGACTTTGGGATTTGTTTTTTCAATCCCTTTACCTGCTACTATACTTAAAAGGTATTCTATATGACAGACTAACCTTCATGTTAAAATTACATAATGTAGGTTGGTTCCCACTGCTGTTTGTGGAATACTCTACATCCAATTTCTCTTAGCTTCAACAAATGGAAAGAACCAATTTTGCCAGGTCCAGAGTTGAAAGGAAAACTTGACATATATTTACCTGCATCTTGGATGCTGTCCACAGAAATATGGAATAATATAAAATAACCTGGGATTGGAACATTCAGGGTAGTTCTCAAGGATACACACATTAATATCCTAAAAAAGAAAGGGAAATGGTTCAGGGAGGAAAAGAGAAACAAAATAAAACTATTAAGGTATCTGTTATCTGTTATGTAAGGTCTCTGCTATCGTCTGATGATACGTGGTCAAATGGCTATAATCCAATAATGGTGTACCTGCCATGTACATTTACAAATGGATAAAGATTTACATATTCCTGTAAATAAGGGGGGAAAAGAAAATGGTCATTTTTTACTCTTTCATGGATTATCATATGTCTACATTTGACTAATGGGCACATTATGAGAAGACAAGACTCATAGGGAAAGACAATAAAGTTGAGAAAAGGCAGCAAGCAAAGGAGAAGACCAAATGTGAGATGGACTGACTCAATAGTTCCTCCTTTTTGGCGGGAAATAACGACTGAGTCTCCTTTTGAACATTAACAGATTTATTTAGTTTAACATCAGGTGAGTCTACAACAACTTCTATCGTTTCAAAACAACTAATATCTGGTAGCTTTCCAAATTGTGAGGATGATAACTTTGTCTGGAAACAGACAAGATTCATTGAGATGCTGACCCAAAATGTTCCCGATTGGTGGGCTTCCTCAGCAGAACACACTGGACCACGCGTATTGTCCCACAACAAGGATGTCTGGCTCAATCTCCCTTCGGCGGTGGATGGTTGAAGGAAGGGTCCGGCCCAATCACCTTCCCTGAGTGACCTTGTCCCCGCAGAAAGACCACGACCATCCATTCTAGATGTCCCCTTTTCTTTAGACTTGTCTGGGTCAGTAGCAACCCTCCTACCTTCAAATTAGGGAAGTCCTCCAACAACCCGCACATTCTATCATACTCGTATTCTCTTCTCTCTCCCTCTTTTTCCTTTCCTTCTTTTTCTCTCCCCTTGGTATACAGAACTGTCTCCCAATTTGCTCCCCTATATCCTCCCCCAACACGGCCAAAATTAACTCCTCCTCCCCTTCTCCTTCTCTCTCTTCCACTAGACAGATTTCAGTCTTCTCCCTTTGATTCCCTTCTTTTCCCTTCCTCCACATTCAGCTTCTCACTTTCCATTGTCTTCCCTACTTCTATATCTCTCTCCCACTCAGACGTTTCTAGTGGAGGGGACGGCTCACTCTGTTCTTTCTCCTTTGGGTCTACCGCTCCTCCACACCTAACAAAACCACAAGCCAGCTAAGGAAGTCTTGAGCCTGTAGTAGCAGATCTCTCAAAGGCCTAAACACAGAATCTGCTCCTATCTAAAGATCTAAGATATCCCGAAGGGAATACATTACCATCTACCAAGGAATAGTTATCTCTGCTGCTGCAATACATACTTTAGTACTTTAGCCTTTCTTGGTGTGAGGAAGGGTGAGAAATAGAAAAGTCAGACAGACAGAAACTACATCTCAGGTTGTAGTCCACAAATTAAGAAGATGTAGCAGCTGGGGCTGACTTTGCCCTGCATCATTCAAATTTAGTAACAGACCAGTATACAGATCTCGAATACACACACTCTGGTTGTGCCATCATCAAGGCCATTAGGAGGTCAGTAACTGATAGGGCTGCCCTAAGTTAAAAGCAACTTGAACATATATAGCAACATTTGCATGCCTTATCTGGGAATTGAGTCATGGCAATTGGACTTCTTTCTTGTTAGGCTGAAACGTTTTGGTACTCATCCAAGCAGCTTCTTCAGTTCTTCAACTTGGATGAGTAGCAAAATATTTCAACCTAAGAAGAAAGAAGTCCAGTTGCCATGACTCAGCTTCCAGATAAATACACCTGGATGACTGAGAATCTTCAAAGATATATTTGCATGTGTTATTTTGGAAAATGGCAGCTACAGAAATAAAGGCCAATATCCTGTGGCTTTGTGTAGTAAACGGAACTACAGTAAGCCCACTGAATCCATTCGAGTTTAGTGAGTCAACTCCACCATATTTTCATTGATTCAGATGCGCTTACTCTAACCATGAATAACACAGAATTTAGACAAGGTTTGAAAACCTATCTGTTCAACTTGGAGCCCTAGTTGTTGGGTGTAAAGAGAGGTCAACGGCCAGTGTATTTTATTTGAACTTTAAAATATGTTGCATGATTGTACATTATTGATTTTATTGGAATGTACTCTGGTGTGGAGTGCAGTATAAATAAATAACATGTTGATGATGATGACCATTCTGCAGTAAATACAGAGTAAATAAAGTGGAATTATGCTTAAGGCCAAAGAGCTACTGAAAGATGGATGTGGGAAAACCAAGGTTCTGGGGAAGATAGTAGATTCTATTGATATTTGACAACTGTAAACCAAAGGAGTCATGTCTACATGCATCAAATGGTGTGCTCGAGGGTCATTGCATTTTCTTTTGCCACAGCAACTCTCACAATCAAAAAGTAGAATGCGGTAGGCTAAGGAAAGTACTCTTTTATGTGAGTTAACTGTTTCTTCGAGTTATGACAACTGTTTTTACCAGAGAGAAAGAGAGATAATATGTATGGATGGTAGATAGAGACCTTTTTCATATTCACATTTGGTATAATGGAGAACAGGAGAATATAAATAGTTTTTTAATAGAGTTAGAAGGGATTAGGACATTTTAACCCCTCCCGCAGGCTTCTTTAACCCCTTTCCCTCTGCATTTAACTGCAGTCCTCTCAGTTGCTAGGACAGCAACTGATTTTCTCAGGAGCAGTACATTCTTGTTGTCATGAAAAATGTTTGAATGTGGTCTGGTATTGAAAGAACAGTTTAGAACCATTAACGTGACCAAAACAAAAATAAAAACAAAAATTTGCCTTCAATTGTTGATATAAATGCATCCTGAGGGCTATATGTTTAGACTTTCCTTACTGGTGGAGTAGCTATGATGGCTGTCGCACTGAAGAACTGCACTGCCAAATTTACCACAACCACTGTACTTATGTAACGCAGTTATCAACAGTGTGATGACACGCCCAGTAGCATTTTAAAAATGAAGACTTAATATTATATCAGAAATTATATAGCTACATCACAGAAGCATATTACACCATAATATTTGCACATGTTTCTATAATAACATTAAATGTTTTCTTATAAAACTGTACAAATCTGGCACAACCTTTAGATTCATGATATTTCCAATAGTACACTATGTGCTGAACAGATTTATGAAGATATTCCAGAAATGATGTAAATTCACAGCAATATTTGGCAGATCTTTCCACACATATAAACAAATGGTATTCTAATACGCCAAGGATGATCTGTAGATTGAAAATGATCTGAATATTATTGCAACATATACGTAATGCATACCACTTGAAAGTACTTGTCTACTGGATTCTTCTTACTGATTTGAAGACACATTTTTGCCTTAAAATAAATAGTAACACTATTCACACAATACGGTCCTTTCTGATATCTGTTCCTCCAGCACTTTCACTGAAAATGTGACTGCATCCCTCTCTTCCCAGCTTCTTCTTATCAATTCCCTACCAACTACTTACAAATAAAAGGTTCAGAGCAAGACAAATTCTTGGACTCTGTGGTACAACAGTTAAGTTTCAATAATTTTGTGAAGTTGCAGTAACAAAAAGTATCAGAGCAAGGCTGAAATTTTTTTCTACCTCACTTCACTTCACACCTCCCTGTTACTGGCCACCACATTTAACCATTGTCTTTCTCTTTTGTTCCCTCATTTTAATGTCTGGATCATTCTTTTTATTTTCCCTAGTTTTTATGAGGATCCCAAAACTTTCTCTTCCTACTTCTCTAAATGATTTAAAAATTTTTTAAATGCATTTAACTAGAGGAAGCTTCAACAAACAGAAAAAATGAATTATAAGGAGAAGCAATAAATAGAAATATACAGGTGAAACAGAAATACACAAAATACTGACAACCAACCAACAGAAAACTTCAAAATGCATGCTGAGGGTTAAAGAAGGGGAGACAAGGACTCAATCTTGTCAGTAACCATGTCCCTCTATTATGGCACTGTTCAGGACTCAATATTGTAGATTGTTCAATCCTCCCAGCCCAGATATGGATACTGCCATCTTCACTGTGCCAATGTAATGATGGGTTTGACGGGAAAATCCTTAAGGTCCTTAAGGATTTTCTAATAAGGTCCTACTTTATTAGTTGCACTTTATGGCCGATATCCTGCTGCAGTCATTCAAAACTTTTAACAGTGAATTGCTATACACTAAGAAATCTCTGTAGGCACTACATATTGTACATGAAGAGACGTGTCTCGGTATTGAGATTTCTGAACATACAATTCACTGCTAAAAGCAATACGTTTTGTGTAGCTGCAATAGTATTTTTGCTTTTAATTTACTAAGCAAAATAAGAAAAAATACCCACTTTAATCACCTCTTAATTAATAATAAAAACCATCTGATGAAAATCTACTCACAAACACTAGATTAGTCAGGAATCAAGAATAAGGAAAGGTAGGAAGTTCTATGCCTCTAAAATACAGTTCTCTTCAAGAGAAGCACCACCCTACAAGCAGATGGAGATTTCAAAAAGCAGCAGGATACTAAATCCAACATTTTCAAGGTCTCCTCATAAATCAAGAACTGGCTTACTCAGGAATAATGAAACAGTGGAGCTATACCTTTACAATATGCCGTTCTTTCTTGTGTCTTTAAAATAAACTTGCCCTTTTAATATTTAAATATATCACAAAGCACCACCCTTACACAACATTTATGCAGGTCTACTCACAAAGGACTGGAACAGGTGATACTTTATTGGACCACTTAAAAAACAACAACAAAAAGCTAGTTTTCAATAATTCATCTTCTTTAGGTTGTGCACCAAGTTCTTGTGGGTGGTTCCAAAATAATATGCTTTTATTAAAGCCCCAATGTCGCGTGGCCATTGTTGGGGATCCTTCTAAGAAGCCAGGTTTAGCTTCTTAGATGGAAATAGCTGCAGTCTGCAAGAGGTCTGTGAAGAGAGGGTGTGGCTTCAAACCCTTCCTCAACTAGTAGTTTGGAATTCATCACCCAACTCTTTAACCAATAGGCCACCAA